TAGGCTTTATGTACAGGAAATTTGACTTTTGATTAAATTCCTAGTCCTACTGGAAGAAGCTTGCAGATGTGTGCAGATGTGTGTGTCCTGAGTGACAGGGCTTAGGGCACTCGTTGGGGTTGCCTGGGGTGCCATCTTTTCTTCACTCCATGTTGCCATTCCTATGTTCTCTACTTGCTGGCTCCAGCTGCCTCCACCTCCTCAGAGGCTGAAAAAGTGGAAGAGAGAGGTATTTTATGCTACTGACTCCCGAGCTACTGTGTGATTATGGTGGCAGAATAATCTAGATACAAGGACATCGTTTTGTGAGCCTCGGCATTGTACTGCCCCCCCACCCTTTCCTGCTTTCTTCTTGTGTTACAATTTTTAGAAATTTTCTGCTTGGGCGCAGATGTAGCTCTCAGGGACATTTTCAGTAGAGTAGAACAAGCTTATTCACTCCACTTTGTTTTCTCTTCTCTCTGTGTCTCTGTCTCTGTCTGTGTGTGTGTGTGTGTGTGTGTGTGTGTGTGTGTGAACACACATGTGAACATGAGTATGCATGTGTGTGGTACTATTAGAGGCAGACTCTGATGGTTCATTTTCAAAGGTGCTTGGAGCCAACTTAGGTCCAGCTTCAAATGAACAGAAAACTAGACCTGTCCATGCCTGCTAGGTTAGCTATTCCCACTGCCTCTCTGAACTCTGTTAAGCTCCTCAGTACATCCATGCTATGCACATACACACACACACACACACACACACACACACACACACACATAAAAATAAATATATTTTTAATTTAAAAACAGAATGTGTTTTCTGATGAGTGCGGCACTATTGAGTGTAGGGATCCAACAGGTGATGTAGAGAATCAGTGGTTGATCACTCACGCATGCACTTAGTGAACATCCCGATGTCCACCTTTCACCATGTGTGAAGAGGAAACATGTGGAAGATACATGCACAGACATAAGAGTGTCAGAGATAACGGCCAGGGTAAAATGAACAGTGGACATGGATGGGGGCAAAGGAGGAAGTAGTTTCCTCCCATAGACATTCACTTGGTAGAGCTATCCATGCTGGGGGGCCGGGGAGTGTTTCTAAACATATTGCTTTAGCATGAAAAAATTGAGTTTACCTTGAGTATTAGTTCAAAATTAATGTATCAGTGTCCAACCAGAATACATGTCAGTGCTGTCATCTGAATATAGTGATGAGAAATCGTTGTGGGATTTTTGTACACTGCGTGAAGGTATATTGCTGTGACTGGTGTAACAAAAAACTGAATGGCCAATAGCTAGGAGATGCTGGGCGGGACTTCTGGGGACAGAGAGGACTCTGCGAAGCAGAAGAAGATGGGAGAGGCCAGGAGACGCAGAGAGGAAACGGGGTACAAGATGGAAGAGAGGTAATGTCACAGGACAGAATGTAGATTAATATAAAATGGACTAAGGTAAGCTATAAGAGATAGTTAGGAACAAGCCTAAGCTATAGGCTGAGCCTTCACAATTAATAAGAACTCTCCATGTCATTATTTGGGAGCTGGCTGTTGGGACAGAGAAAGACTCATTACAATAAATACTATGCTGGTCAGGCTTCATAGGTACAGTGCCTGAATGAGATCATTCATTTATTTATTGGCAATATTGATTTTTTCATTGTTTGCTATGTGTCAGAAGCTCTGTTGGTCACTAGGTGACAAGTCCGATGCTCTACAAAGCTTATCCATTAGCTGAAGTGATGAAACTCAACCCACTACCGAGTTTATCTTTTGGAAGAATTCTGACATAGCAAGATTTTTGTCTTAAGAATTACAGAATAAAAAAAGATCATTTTAGGTTTTTTTTTTTAAAGTAAATATTATAAAGAAGGTAGGAGGTCTGCAGACAAGCTATTTCTCAATTTATCAAAACAGAGCAGGACAACCAGTCCTGTTATGAGTTGACTGTGAGGATAAGGAAGTATTCTGCCTTGGAGAGAGGCTGAGCCAAGCACAGATTTCAGGAACTGACCGCTTATGAGTTTAAGAGCCTGAGACTCCTGAAACTAAAGGTTTTAATAAGTTCTCTAATACCTTACAACCCATACTGAACAGTTAACTTTTTATCTCAGATGCAAATATATGAAGGCATCTTCTTCCAACTGTAACAGACCACACCTCTGTGGCCTTAATTAAGTCTCCAACAGACTTCATGTTGGGATCCCTTTCATTAATTTCACAGTTCTGAATATGACCTCTGTCTGCTGAGAATGCGATCCTAGCAGTTAAACACTAAAAATGGTGGGTTCCCGTTTCTTTGTAGGCTGTGTTCCCGAGAGCCCCCTTTTCCATAAAGAAAGCAACTAGCTCTTCATGGTCCTTCCCTCTCCTACAGGAATGAAGGCTCCCTACTCTATTTTTTTCCATGGTTCTGGTCGCACCCTAATTTCATGAACTCCGAGTTAATCCTTTTTTTCCCAAGTATAAACAGGCTGACTTCAAACAGATTACAATAGGTCACAAGGTTTAATGGGCACAGGGATAATCATCTAAATTACATTTCTAGGTCTGATGGGGTAGACAGATGCGAGGCTCGCTCCACCAGCACTCACTGTTCATCAGCAAGGCTGGTGCCTCCCAGCATGGCTGCCTCTCTTTGCTCCAGGAGAGCCTGCCGCCTGCTGACTGGTTACCAAAGGCAGCTGCATGAAATCTCCTCTCACATAGTGTCCATCTCTGAAGGACATGGAAGTCAAATGTGGCTGCCACTCAAGCACAAGACGCACGCTTTTATCTCTGGGAACTCTCTGACTCCACTTGTAGGTCACAGTCCTCAGTCCAACAGTTGTCACTGATGCTCACAACCTGTTAAGGCTTAGGAATTTTCACATTAAAGAACTCTCCTCTGCATTGATTTCTAGTAGCATCTAGCAAAATTCCATTGCCAACTGCATAGTTTCAATTGTTTCTGGATTCCCTTTAAAGCACTTTTTATAATTTATTTATTTTTATTCTATATGCATTGGTGTTTTGCCTGCATGTTTGTGTGAGGGTGTTGGATCCTCTGGAACAGGAGCTACAGACAGCTGTGAGCTGCCATGTGGGTGCTGGGAATTGAACCTGAGTCCTCTGGAAAAACTAACATTACTCTTAATGGCTGAGTCATCTCTCCAGCCACTGTTTCTTGATTCTTAACTTTAGAAGAAGTAAAAAGCATGGAATTATTCAGACAAAGTAACTAAAATAACTCTACTTGTTAAAATTCAAGGCTAAACAACCTTTGAGCACTGACAGAGGCCATGTTGTCCTGAGGTGCTGTATATCCCAGCATTTACAATTTGATTACATATGTCAATTTCTTATCAAAGAAAACAACGGCATTTCTCCTGAGACAACAGGATGTTGGGATGAAATTAAAGCTAAAGTGCCACAAAAGAATGAGCTGAAACCATTCAAAATTGATCAATATGCCCAATACGAAGGTGATTATGATGTAAGAGTTCTTGTGTGTAAAATAACTCATAACTTACAAGAGGCTCTTGTGTAAAGTTTCATTTTATTTTTTATAGCAACCAAAAATAGGTCTGGATCATGTATCATCTCTATTTTGCATATCATAGCAATTTTCTGAGACGTTAAATGGCATGCTAAGTGTCACTGAGATGAAAAGCAATAGAGCCAGCACACAAATCCAAGCCTTGTGATGACACATCCAGTCCATATATGTGTGTGTGTGTGTGTGTGTGCGTGCGTGCGTGCGTGCGTGCGTGCGTGCGTGTGTGTGTGTGTGTGTGTGTGTGTGTGTGTGTGTGTGTTCGTGCTCTGATGTGTATTCCAAAATATGGGCTTCTGAGGAAATGCAATAGTAGTATTTTTTTTTAAAGAAAAACTATTTGCTCAGAGAGGCCCAAATGGCAGAGCTTGTAAGTAAATTGTATTTACTCAAATTAGCTTTCTAAAATGAGCAGAATAAGATGTACTGAACCTATTCAATAAGAGAGAGGTTGAGTGTCAAAACAGGCACATTCATTATACTATTTCCAAAATATTTGCTAGCTGTCAATAGTATGGAGTTTATAAAAGCCACAGATATATGAAATCATATATTGGGTTGATGCAGAAACTAGAAATCTAGCAACTAGTGGAATATGAATGATATAAATAAAAAAACAGAATCAAAAGAAATGGTTGACTATTACAAATTCTAAATTTATAATACTTTAAAACTTTTTCTGAATTATAATAGGAGAGACAGAATAATGACTGGGGAATTAAAGTGTCAACATTAATTCTAAGAAAACTGTTTTAATGACACACAGAGTAGCCATATGCTTACTAAACACTGGATCATTCTTTGACGAGTAAATACTAAAAGGGAACAAAGATTGTTTGAAAATACTTATTCAATATAAGGATCTTGAAAGTAAATCTACTTCACTAGTGAACAGTTACTTTATTTTCTTTGCTAATTAATTTGTTTTTTCAAAAATATGTGTTTATATGACTGAGTATATGAGTGTGTATGTATGTGTTCAGAAGCCTGAAGAGTTCACAGAGGGTGTAGGATTCCCTGTAGCTGGAATTACAGCAGCTATGAGCTGCCGTGTAGGTACTGGAGTAGAACCTGGGTCCTCTGCAAGAGCTGAATGTTTAACCTCAGATCCACATCTCCAGCCCCAGACATTTTTAATTTTCAATCGTTGAGCCGACAAAATGTAGCTGTTCCTTAGCAGAGCTTTTTTTTTTCAAAAAACTAGACATAAACATTAAAACAAACAAAAACTAGAAATCCTGCTACTGAATACTTCAATAATTTTAAACCCAACACATTGGCTGGCAGACTTGTACTTGAAATTTGGTGAACTTTTCATCTTGGCTTTTGTTCCTTTTTTTATTTTAATATATTTAAATTACATTTGACAAAAGCAAATAAAGCTAAACTAGTAATTTATGTCATAGAAACAATCATTTCAATATTTGATGTGACATTTTGGTTATGAAAATTATGAATGTCTTTGAAAATTTTTAAAACTCCAAGGGAAAAAAAAACAGAAGAATATCTTTATTGTTTAGAATCACATAGGAATATCTGGATAATGTTGAGTTGGGTAATGAATAGGAACACACTGTATTATAAGAATACAAAAGCAGCCAATATAAGGTTCACAATTAAGTTATGGTAAGAACCACAGCAAAGACTGTTCTGTTCCTGTTTCTACAACAAATACCTGGGATAATCAGCTTACAAAGATGAAAGGTATATGTTGGCTCAGAGCTTCATAGCTTTGGAGGTTTCAGTCAGTATTGGTTGGCCCTGTTGCTTTGGACTTAAGACAGTCTTACACAACTGGGACATGTGACAGAGAAAAATTGCCTAATGCATAGCCAAGGATGACAAAAAAGAGAAAAAGAGACTAGAGTCCCACAATCCCCTTCAAGGGCATGGCTGAAATAAGCTAAAACCTCTAGTTAGGTTTCATCTTCTAAAGGTTGCATCACTTCTCAGTAGGGCCAAGCTGTGAGCAAGCCTGGTTAACATTTGGGTCTTTGAGGGATACTGCACAGCCTAGCTATAATGGGTGTTTCTTTTGGTTTCTGGAAAAGAGTGTTTGCCTGGAAACAGTAACTGAAAACCAAACTTTTCAGATGCAGAGACAGAGCTTTATGAGGGCCTAAGATACAGCCTTTCCTAACAGCAGATAAATAGAGCACAGACCTGGTTTCTGAAGAGAGATGCACATGAACTGCATGAACCTAAAAACTGTGTGTGTGTGTGTGTGTGTGTGTGTGTGTGTGTAATATTATATAGATTATATAATATGTTATTGTAGAATACTATCCAATATATTTATATATTATGCAATAGGACCTATATATTACACACGAATATGCATACATTTGCCCTGGGAACTTCCTAGACATCCAGTGTATTAGGCTCTTCCCAAGGTCCAACTGAGCCAGCACATGAGGTGGGTCACTGATCTGTTTCAAGAAGTCTCCACAGAGATTTCAATGCATGTTCAAATTTGAGAATCAATAGCATATGGAAAAGCAGCCAGTGAAGAACTGAATGAAGTCAGCCAATGACAAGCAGGGGCAGCCCTGACCCCCGGTGACACTGTGCTTTGGAGGAAGGGATTCATGAACATCTCCAATGTACATAAGCAGTCAGAAACACTTAAGTCTACATGGTGTGAGCCCCAGAGAGAAACCAAGTAGTCAACTGTAGATGTAACCCTCAATCCTTTGTGACATACAGTGCCTTTAACTCTCCGGCCAGGTGGCCAGGAATGGGTAGGCCTACAGTGTCTAGAAAGGGACATGCTCATGAGGTTTTACTGGTCCTTTGAATCAGACTTGGGATATTACAAATTTTTATGAACCCTTGGCACTTAAAACATCCAAACAGTGAAGGGGAGAGAATTTGAGACCAGAAACATGCTTCCAGTGTTTCATGCATTTCAAGTTTGTTTCTGAAAGTTGGAATGGGATTCTAGAAGTTCTTTTGTCCCATTAACCCTGTAATGCCTGAGTTCTTTAATATTGCCACTGTGCTCAATTACTGTATATTTTCTACCCTTTGAAGGAAAAGACAAGCCTAGTTCTTTAGTGCTCTTAGGGTTGAGAATGAATTTGTTTATGCTGAAGTGGTAGCTGTCCTCTTTTGGGAGACCTAATGAAATAGCAGCATTAAAGACATTTGTTATTATCCATTATTCAGTACATTCTTAGGTTGAAGGAATTCTATCTATAAAGCCGGGAATTTCTGGTCTATCTGTCAAGTAAGTTGTACAAGGACATGAGACCTAAACTTGGCCAACTGGATGTCTTATCAAAACAACTTTCAATTTGGACCAATAAGGCATTGTTTGAAGGGACAGTTTAAAATTAATTTACAGCTCTGTGCCCAGCAGCAGTGGCAGAAGCATCGTCCTGTCGGCTCTGGCAAAGGGAGTGCATCCAGGGTTACTGTAGTCAGTGGCATCTCGAGTATGTGGCTCCATGATGTGACACAGTTAATCCTCTTACTTTCCTTAATTCTGTCTGTTTCCAAGTTCTTTCACCTTCCCTCAACAGCTCCAATCCTGTGAGTTATCAGGCATGCTCTGAGTATGCCCTTTTGCTTGGGTTGATTTTTACTCCCTGTGCTCAAGAACTTTGGCTAGTAAAGTAAGCATAATGGAAGGCTGTAGGCAGTGGGGAATGAGGTTCAAATAACCGGTCTGACAGCAGAGCTAATCAGAGTTGAAGGTGTGCCTCTTAAAAAGGAGAAATGCATGGAGCCCCTCAGAAGGAAGGGGACTGGAAGTATATATCTCATTAAGAATTTTCAGACCGAAGTCCTAGAACTGGAAAGGGTGACCCATAGGGACTCTGTTGTGTTCTTCGTTTCTCATCACCATCCCTGTTTTGGTTGCTGTTTGTTTTGTTTTTATTTTTGTAGCTGATTCTTGTCATACATAGCATCTGTGAGGGATTAACCTCTCACCATATCCAGGATTGGCCTTCATTGGCTTAAATCAAACAATAGCAAATATTAAATCCAATCACAGATAATGAGTTGTACACAGTTTGTATAAGAGCATCTAGAAATGTGATAAAGTCTTGTATGACCACAGCCTTTGGGCAGGTACGTGAGGACATACATCTGCCCAAAGACTCCCATTTAAGGTCTGGGGGAGAGGCAACAAGAAAACATAGGAGTGAGTTGGAAAAGAAATGGGTCATACCCTTTAAGCACATGGGGATAGTAATAGCTCTCAACTTTTCCAGTTATACTAGTTAGTGGACCCTTCATCTTAAAAGCCAATTTAAAATGGACTTTTTAACATAGCTAGTATAAGTTGTTCTAACCATTACCTCTCTTCTCAACTTCCATTCCTGTCCACACACAGAGATTTAGATTCTTAGTATTAATGTTGGTGAATTGGAAAACATCAAAAGACACAAACTAATGGCCTCGGGGTTAAATCTGATCTTAGAATTTTATTTCTTTGTTTGTTTGCCATGTGGCGTGTTCCTTTTTAAGGCTTAGTTACCAACATATAATCCTGGAGAGATCTTCCATTAAAATCCAAATCTTTGGTTTCTTTTGAAGGATCAGATCTGACACCGCTAAGCCAGCATTCCAGAAATGGCAACAGTCGCCCAAAGTGGGCAACCTCCCTCTCAACAGGGCAGGCATGGCTTTTGCAACAGTTCTTTGCACCCTCTTGCCTCAAAATTAGCCCAATTCTGTCATTCCTATTAATCCACGTCTGTGTGGATTAGTGTTTGCAGCTCTGTATAGTTAGGCAGACCTGTTCCAGGCCTGTCAATTTATAACGAAGCTGCAAACCTTGAGAGGAAGAGAAGGTAATACAACATGTTCTACATAGCAGTTAGTGGGAAATTATTAGGGCATAACATGATTTGATAATGAAGATACCCAGAGATTTACTAAACATTTTGTGTGTGGCTTAATATGTTTCCTCACTTGCCATCATGAGTAAAATTCCACAGCACTCAAAGATCAGCCTTTTGTCTAACAGTGTACATCATGAGTATCAACACCAGACAGAGTTAGCCTTAAATCCAGGCCTTCCCTTGTTTGCTGTGATGACTGTGCCATCACACATGGTTATCATATGTATTAAAGTAATTAAGATGTGGCAAGAATAATATTTAGCACATAAAAACTCATTATGTTAGATTGTCCACTATGTGAGGCTATTCCAATACTAATTTCCATTGAAGAAATATAATTTTATTTCTCTAATAAATATGCTGCTAGTATAATGTTCCACAGACCAACCTGTCCCCCCCTTTTTAAATGGGCTTGACATTTTTAATGCTATCAAAATCCTATATCATTATTCTTTAGTCATTGCCACTTTTTAAAATAGGCTTCCTTTCATCTTCTATTGGGTCTAAAGCCCTCCTCAGGCAGATTAGAGTTGTTGCTCCATAGCTTATGGCTTGTGCAGACATACGTTATGTTTAGTAGGATGGGAATACCTTTCCCATTAGAGACTCAAACCTCCATAATCAGGGTGTTGTGTGGAATATTGAAAGTGTAGTCAAAGTCCCAATTCTGCTTACCTTAAATTAGGAACCTTAATTGGTCAGAGGTCAGAGATGGGGGAAGATAGAGAGACAAATAATGAGAGGGATCCTACTTATGAATATTCACTGTCAGCTTAGGAGACGGTGGGACTATGTAGCAAGGATGTGGACTGCTTGTAGGAGCAGTGAGTAGAGTAGCCTTGGTTGACAGCCAGCAGTGGAATAGAACCTCGGTTTCAGACTCCAACTTGTGTGAGCTTGGGAGTGGGTGCTTCCTCAGCACCTCTAGAATTCAGTCTGGTCAACATCTGGATCTCACCTTTTAAGCCCCAAGGAGTGAACTTGGTCTTCAGGCTTCCTAATTACAAAACTTTGAACCAGTAAATCAATGTTGCTTTAAACTGTGGAGTCTGGGATGAATTGTTGCCCAGCAATGGAAAAATCAGCACCGAAGGTTTGAAGATGACCACAACTAGTCTGCTCTCATATATTTTCTCTCAATGTATCCCCCTTGATCTAAAGTAGAAAAAAGGACAAGGGGAGATAAGTCTCTAGTCTAGGCTCATCACTGTCGGTCTAGTTCATAATGTATCCTTGATGTATATGGGGGTAGCTGCTTAGGACATTGGAGTGTCAGTCACCTTGTCTGGCCCACCCTTACTCAGAGTCCTGAATGTTTCTCCTCCTCCCTCGTTGCATGCCTGAAAAACCTGAGTGTTATGGGATATTTTATCACAGTGTATAAAGATGTGTCAGTTTTACCTTGCCTGCATAGGGCACATGATTATTTTAACAAAGAGCTGATCAGCCAACAGCTAGGCAGGAGAGACTAGGCAGAACTCCCAAGCAGAGATAGAAACCCTGGGAGGAAGAGAGGAAGATTGGCCAGACAGACACATAGGACATTACGGAGGAGAGGTAACAGTCATGTGGTAGACAGTAGATTAATATAAACTGGTTAATTTAAGTTATAAGAGCTAGTTGGGAATGAGCCTAAGCTAAGGCCTAGCTTTCATAATTAATAATATTCATCCATGTCATTATTTAGGGACTGGTGGTCCAAGGAAAGACTGATAAGAAAGTCCAACTGTACCTGTGTATTGAACCAAGTTTCTTATACTTTCTAGAACTTTGAATCTCTGTTCTGTGGTTTGGAACAGATAACATCTCTAGATCCTGCAAACTTCAGGGCTGATCTTTAGAACTTCCTAGACTGGAGGATTCATAGCAATTTCTCAGCAAGCTCCTTCTCCCTTTCTCAAAGTTCCAGACCATTCCTCAAGTCCTGTAACTAGGCAGGCATCCACCAAGACAGCAGCAACTTTCTACCTCTCCTGAGTTATCTCCAAACTTCACAGATGACTACTTCAGGGAGAAGAAACTGGGCCCATTTCTTTCCCCAAGGAAGAAGAAGAAAGGAGGCACTATCTCTCAGTGAGAAACCTTCCTCTGGTCATTTTCCCTGCCTCCTTGAGTGTCTTTAAATTGCTGAGTTTGCAAAAAAGCCTGAGGCTAGGAAGGAAAGCAAAATATCTTCTGACTCTGATGACCTATACCAAAATAACTTTAAAATAGAATTTGTTTGAGTTGGTCCATATAATTTAACTTAAAAATCTAATTCCAGAAGTTGTAGTAGATGAGAGTGATTAAAGTCCAAGGCTTTGACCTAAGAACAGTAGTATGTAAGTTCTCACGTGCATATCCTAGAGGCAGTTATGGAGTACAGGCAGAGTGTTAGCTGTGTTTGCTACCTCTGGTGCTACAGTAGGACACCTACTTTTGTCGTACTGTCTTGAACCACACTAAAGCAGGTAAGGAATTCACATGGACTCAGAATTGGGGTGAGGTGGCTGGCGCCTTAGAAACCAAAAAAGGTAGCCTCACTAAAGAGAAAAAAGTTTAAATAAAGCATTTTAAGGTTTATACGTGTATGTTCTCTCAAATTCCTTCTTTGGAAGGAATGCATGGGCATGATGAACCCATGCGTTTCAGTTTTTTGAAGCAGGCAAACAAAGAGCCTGAAACAAAGGGAATTTTCCTTTCTCTTTGATTTCTCCCAAACTGGGATTTCATTGAAAATGGAAGGAGATCCTTTCACTTGCAAATCTCTCCTCCCCCAAATTCTTGGAAGATCTAAGTTTTCCAAATCAGGAGGATAAACTGTACACATGCCTTCTTCTCCTTTTGAATGTGAAATTTAGAATTTATGCCATTTTTATTATGCCCGATAAAAAGCAAAATTTTTATTCTGTTGGTCTGAAAAAGCAACTTTTGAAGTCAGATGTATTTATCAACATACTCATTAGAGGCATTTTTCCCCCTCCAGTTTGGAGAGAGTTTGAAAACCAATACCAGTATGGTTTAGATAGTCATAATTGTTTACACATGTCTCAGTAACAAAATATATTTGGGGGGGTGGCACTTTACTTTTAGGATTTGAGGCAGCTGGAAATTATTATCATTATGGTTTAAAATGTTCCAACTGGATAATGGTGTTAAAAAGAATATAACATTCTAGAATGCTTCCTCCTAGCACGGAACACAGATAATTTTATTACACTGAGTGAGTACTGAGTTATTTACATACAGATTGGCTGATCTAGTTACATGTGAAGGAATCTGAAGAAATCGGTTCCTTCATGTATCATCACATACAAAATGCCAACGCCTCTTGGTTAGCAGCACTGTTATTGTACAAAGAAGCTTTAGTGGTCCATTCAGACGATATTTCTCCTGTTGCAGTGGCAAAAATCTAATTAAATGTTTAAGAAGTAGGACAACTTCTTTAATCAGAAGTATATTAAATACCTTAGAGAAATACAAAAATTCTTTTCATAGTTGCTTCTCAAAAGAGAAAAGAAGAAAGGAAAGATGATTAATAAGGGATCCTGTGGCTCCCTCAACCTGTTTCTTCTAAGCAGTCCGTCTATGTTAAGAGCCAAGAGGGAGCAAAGTTCAAAGGAAATTCGTCTACTATTTGTGCTCTGGCTAAGAAAGGGGGCAAGAGGCTGTTCATGAGACCAGTTGGCAATGAGGACAGCATGCCAGGCCAAGGAGTCTTTGTGATCACAGATGGACTTAGCAAGGGAAAGATGATGCCAGAGTCCCAGGCAGGGCATGCTATTTTGGGGGCTTTGCACCAATCATTTGTTTTGCATTTGTTGCCAGTTTTGACAAAGAGAAATATATTTACTTGGATCCAACTTAACAAAAATGAAAGCTGTCAACATCATCAGGAGCTGGTATAATAATTGTATCTTATATGTCCATCCCATGGTCTGCAATTATGTATTTACTGATTGTCTACTAGGGGTTTGCAAATTACCAACATAGGTCTCATCCTTGGAGATAGCAACCCATGGTTTTTTAAGTCTTGATTTATAAGTCCTCTAACTATTCTGCATTCTTTTCATGAAAATTTTATTGTTTTTATACTTTGTAATATCAAAATATTCTCACCAATAGGGGTATGGAGTAACTAGCCCTTTTGTCTAACAGTAGTACAATGGTGCCATGGGTGGAGTGTCAAAGTGGCTACCACTCATTGCTGTTTGGATCTGAGGCTTGCTCTGTGGGGAAGGAATCCATGCTTTTTTTTTCTGTGAACTTGATCAAAAAGCACATGGCTGAGGAGATCATAGGCCCCAGCCTGGAATATACTGCTGTTGTTTGGCTAAATGGGCGAGTCGTGTAGTCAAATGGCCTTCTCAATGCTCATGTTTATCTCCATGGGTTAGTGGTACACTCAGCCTTCATCAGAGGAATTTTTTACTGAACAGGCAGTGCAGTAATGCAGAAACCAATACCTAGCCAAAGTGCAGAGCATAAATGATGATGGAGTGCTTGACCCTAAATGGGATCGTGATATTGTCTGCTCCAAGGCTTGGCTAACATCCCCGAAGAAGAGGCAGAAAGAATGTAAGAGGCATAGAATAAAGTCATGTGTAGTAAATTTCTTCTAGACAGGGTGTAGCTGTTACACGCACGAACTCACCGCAGCTGTGGTTATCAGCACAAGACCTACAGCACAAGACCTACTACACAAGACTAGGCCCATTAGCATTTCATCATGGATATGGGAGAAGCCAAATAGGGACTGTTGACAATTGTTAGTTGTCGGGAGAGGACTACAATTTCGCACAGTAGTATAGGCACTGATAAATTGTCCTTGTTCCAGTACATGGACTCCCACCCAAACCTGGGTGAGAAATTCTGATTAAACTCAGTAACACACACAAACAAGTATTACCTGAGAATAGGAGGGGGCTGAGAACAGCAGTTCCAGAGGGAGAGAAATGACTGGTATTCATTATATACGTGTCTGAATCTGTTAAACAATTTGAAATTAAAAAGCAAGGATTCTTTTTAGTTAAAGGAAGTAGCTAACCAATTTGAAATATGTCGATATTACATATCTTGTCAATTTAGAATAACTCACTCTGCACTAGGCACTTTCTGGAGGGCACAGGGCTGACCCAGCAAGCCCAGGGACACGGCTGGCTTCAGTCGTCTCTCCCTGTAGGGCACAACCACAAATGGTCAGGGGCTGGACAATTACAGGGCATTCTCACCCTTCTCTGACACAGATGGACAGAGACCACTGCAAATTGGACAAATGCTGAGTCCATTATCGATGCCAATATCGATGCTTGCCAATCAGGGACCTCCTAGCAAAGTAGCTTAGTGAGACATCAGAGACCCAACTGCAGAACTGCGGCTCCAGGGTCCTGGTCAGTCCCATCACTAGGGTCAAGTTCCTCCACTCACTTCTGCCAGTTAATGCTTTCAGCCATTCAAGACCGCCTTCTTTATGCGGTGGTTACCAGTCTCCTTGGCTCAGTCCATCCTCAAGATCCTGTCCCATGGTCTTTCCACGGTGTTAAGAGTACATGTTCAGTGTGGTCTAACCTACTCAATGTAAAATTCCCTCTGATAAGGTCAGAAAAATGGCTTTGGGTAGCAGTGGTTCTCAACCTTCCTTATGCTTCAACCCTTTAAAACAGTTCCTCAGGTTGTGGTGACCCCCAACCAGGAAACTATTTTCATTGTTACTTCATAACTGTAATTTGGCTACTGTTTGGATTGTAATTTGTTGTGTGAGATATTTTTTGCATTCTGATGCTTCCCGAGACTGATGATAAAGTTTGATTTGAATCGATAAAGTTTGTTTTGAATTACAGGGCAGAGCTAGCTACTAGCTGACTAAAATTAACCATAGAGGTTCAGGGTTTAGAGAGGGTCTTGGCCCTTTTGGATGGAGGAGGAGGTAGGAGGAGGTTACTGGTTACTTCTCTCCCCTTCTCTGATCATTCAGGTTCTTACCCTGATATCTGGCTCCCGAGTTTTTATTCATAAAGAATAATTAGAAAAACACATCAGTAATTTAAATGTCTGATATGCAGGATACCTGATATGTGACCCCTGTGAAAGGCTCATTAGAATCCAAAGGAGTTGTTACTCCCCTGTTGAGAACCACTGGCTTGGAGCATGAATGTGTTTGCCACTGAGCCAGAGTTTGATCCCCAGGACTAACATGCTTGAAGGAATAAAATAGCACCACAAAGTTCTCTGTCTCTGTCTCTGTGTGTGTCTCTCTCTGTCTCCCTCTCTCTCTCTCTCTCTCTCTCTCTCTCACTCTCTCTCTCTCACTCACACACACACACACACACAATGTATTAAAAATTAAAATTTTCTTTTATAGGAAAAATAACTATCTCTTTGGCCAAAGCCCTCTGGAAACTGTCTGTTTTAGTGATCTTGTTTTAGAATGCCCTATTTTAACCAATACAATAGCTTCGAAGCAGTTCTGGGACCAGATTCCTAGTTCAAATTAGACTTTGTCCTTAATTAGCTAGGTGATATTAGCAAGTTTTCTGAGCCTTCATTTCCATACCTGTGGAAAAATTATTATTGCATATTTTGTTTTGAAATTTGAGTTTGTAAACTTTAAGCAATTAAAATAGCACCCATCACATAATAAGTATGAAATATGGCTTAAATAAGCACTGTAGATACTCTTCAGGGCTATACTCACCTAGTCAGTGAAGATGTACTCACATTTGGGAAATACCCCCCAAATCACTTAGTTTAGGTACTTGTGCAATAACAACTTAAAATGATGATACAGACAAAGAAGATAAAATTCTATGACGGCTGTACCTTGTGACTAACAGTATACAATTAGCGTGATTTTCTTCCACTACTTATGAAATGGTGTTGAGGACATGGATCTCAGCACAGTACACTCTACCAGATAATGTTGCAAAGTTTGTTTCTGAGTTTAGTTAAGAAATCCCTCTCATTAAACTGCTTGCAGAAAGAAAGAAAGAAAGAAAGAAAGAAAGAAAGAAAGAAAGAAAGAAAGAAAGAAAGAAAGAAAGGGCATTGTCCTTCTTATACTTGTCACCATTCTGCTTTAGATTCTGACTTTCTAGGACAGAGAAATTTATAAAGGAGTTTTCATAATCATGAAGGAGCATTGGGTATGAATGTCATTTCCTGAGTCGGAGCTTCCAAACTTTCCCCAGGTACTGAAAGGCATGCCTTGTGTGCTCCTGACAGTGAAGGACCACTTGGCCCAGAAGCATCCTCTGTTTTCCCTTGTCCCAAGGAAAGCCAAACCATCCAGCTTACCATGGCTTTTTCTAGTAAGTCATGTTCTAGTGTTGGTTTGGTCCCTTTCCTGGTAAAAATCTTTGGCAGAGTTCCTTTGTACTTTAGAAACAGGGAAGGAGGTGGAAAATATGAAATGAAAGTGCTGGGGACCCTTCTGAGCAATTAAACTGGTGCAAAGTGGGAGCTAGAGTTCAAAGTTATTCAAGTGACCCCTTTCGTATACTTCTCTTTTAGATGTGGTATCCTTCAAAGTTTTCAATGTCGGATTTGAAATCCAGTTAGTCCAGAGTGATTTTAAAGATATAAATAAAAACAACAATGACAAAAAGAGCACCCTTCCCCTCAAGTTCTTTTCTATTTCCTGCCCAGCTTAGAAATCAGGGCACAAGTTCTCAGACTGCCAAGAAAACCCTTCTAGCAAAATGATGAAGTGAAACAGAAATTTTCGTTCTGGATACAATTTGGCATGCATAGCTTTTTCTAATTGACACACTCCTTCCAGATGGGAGGGGGAGACTATGGCACCCTAGAGGGAGACAAGGTGTCTTCCAGGAAAGCAGAGACTTGGGGCATTGTTGAAGGCGGTTCCTCGGCTTTATACAAAGAGAAAACAAGTACTGTGCGATGAGACTCTGAGCTTCCCAGAGGAGATTTTTGGGACCCATGAAGCTGCCTAAAAGTTGTGCAGAGAGCTCTCATGTTGTAGCTTTCTGGGATGTCACCCCTGTCCAGATGAGCTTCTTGGGGATGCACCTGCTTTTGAGTCATTCCTGCTCCTGGTAGCAATTCCTCACACATTTCTGGTAGTAACCCCAATAGAAATTCATTGGTTCCCCACATTGGACTTGAGTGCCATCATTACTTTGGTCTGTTGTGGGATCCCTGTCTGGAATGGGTGTTGTATGTCCCCAGGAAGAGCCTATCGCACAACACTGGAAGTAAGGGAGACCCAGTTTCTTCCACATGGCATTGGATCTCCTATACTAACAGAGGGACAAGTTAATTTCTAATACTGGAAGCAGATGTGGCTCAGAAAGACACATAGAACAGATGTGGCAAGCAAAAGGTTTTTTTTTTTTTAAATACTAATTTATCTGACCATATGCTATGCATTGGGTGAGTGACATCACTCTTTCACCAACACAGAATGGTCATTTATTTTATGTGCTAAACAGATTGTGAATTAAACATCCCCTGCCCTCATCACATGTTTTGGAAGAAATTAAACCCCATACAAAGAAGGTCGCTACTTGGATATACATAAATGCCTCCTGGCTACAGAGAAGTCCTCCACACTCAGAATGCCAGGTGATGTACCGCACATGGAAAGAATCCTGTCCCTCCCTTGGTACCATGTGGGATTTTGAAGAAAGCTCATAAAAGAGCATTCAGTCTACCGATGCAACTTCGAGAAACCAGCAAGGCTAAGTGTTTAAACCAAGAGTTCTTAATATAGCCTGAGTCATTAATAATGAAATGGGTCCAGTCACTACAGATCCCTCACAGTGAAGTGGATGAATAGGGCTCACTCTCTATTAGGCAGAAAGCCTAAGGCACACAATCCTTTTCCCAGGTCATGACGATATTTGAACATCTGAGCCTATTGGAGTAAGCTGTACTAAGTTGTGATACCTGGCAGTAGTTAGTGTGCTAAAGTAATTTGAAAACTTTGGTGTACTTTTTTATTTTGGTGGTAGGAAAGGCAGAGGGCACATGCCACACAATACATGTGGAGAGGTCAGAGGACAACTTACAGGTGTCACTTGGTGCTCTTCTTCCACCATGTGGTCCTGGGGATCAAAGTCATCAAGTCATAAGGCTTGCCATCAAGTGGTCTACTGCCAAGCCATATCACTGGCCCCTAGCTGAATTTTCCACAAGGTAGTGTCAAGGCATGGAGGATTTGACAGGATGGAACCCCACTGGAAATGGAGGAGAATGTGTAGAGAAACCCTACTTTTGCCACAGATTACATAGAAAGCCTGGACCAGGTTTCTAACCACTTGCTAAGGTCTTGGCTTCTCAGTATATTTTCATTTAAAAAGGGCAAGAAGATTTTTTTTAATTTACTCATGTCCAGGGTTACAAGTAAATAAAACAGGATGGTGAGGTGCTTGAGTTAAGGCTTGGCACATAATGAAGTTGTAGCGATGCTGTACTAAGTGCTTCTGCCATGGCCTCTTCTGCACTCACTGATTTCCCTTCAGCTCACAGAGCTTGAGAAGAGCACAGGGCGGAACGGGTGCTTTGAACTCATTAATGGTTGAGAGCATGTCACAGCAGCACAGATGCCATTGTGGGGAAAGTGACAAATTGAAATAGGTAAGATAACTAATGGATGATCACTCATTAAACTGACTGGTGTTTTGTACATAATTATTGATGACTGCACCTCTAGTCGCTTATAAATTTTTGCTGAGAGAAACCATATCTATGAGCCACTTTATAGAATTTCTCTGTGGTTCTGGGAGGGTGCAAAAATAAATGAGAGAATTGTAAAGCATTTTTTAAATGCTGAAATTGGAGTCATTTGCATAGAACTTAGTAACATGGCACCTAAGTGGCTAATATTTCTTTTTATAAAGCAGCATGTGCCAGTTAATGAAACATATAATCAAATGCTGAATGGTTTTAAAAGTACTATTTTCTCTTTCCTCAGTATTTTCCCCTTTGTGTATAATAATCCATTTTAAGATTAAAAAATGATTCTAGCCAATATATCCATGGAACATGGTCCTCTAGGCTTCTGCTGTATGACCTTCCTGTAGACCTTATTTATGGCTCTTTCCCAACACAGAGCTTTGGGGGCAAAATGTACACCAGACTGTAGATCAACTCCACAAATCAATTTCTGTGGAGTTATTGTTATCCATGTCAAAACTTTGATTTGGAAAGAGGCAGTAAAAGAAATATTTCTCCATGTGTACTTCAATTTCCTTAGAACATAAATATATTTTATTATTTCCTAAACATGACATTTTCCAGCCACAGTCACAGTTCATTTATTACTTTCTAAACCTCTTTTCTTAGCAGTGAAGCCTTACACATTTATGGATAAAGCTAAATGCAGTAACAATCTAAGTGTGTCAGTCACATGATGGTTTTAGTTTTCATTAAGAACATGTTTTCTGCAATTGAAAGCCCACTTGTGATAGTAGTAACTACACTAGGTAGAAAAGAAGGCTAGCTAGTGAGCAGAACTGGAAGTAATTAAGATGCCAGGATGATGAAATGTAAGAATGAGTCTCCAAGCATTCAACATTTAAGGAATACCTGTAAACCATTCTCTCTCATTGAACACACTGTTAGGAAGAAAGCTTACTGCTTTAAGTAACTGGTTTTTCACTGGTGTTGATTCTGCCCCACAGGAGGACATACCTTGTCACCACTTTCAGAAGGGGCCTACAGTAGTGCTCAGATAACTTTCTTCCAAATTATACAGGTCCCAATGTCTGTGTTGCTGGGGCTGAGATAGGTGGCCCCAATCTAAATATTTCTATCAACTATAATAAAAGCATTCACCCTTATATATGATGACTAAAACCCCTTTGGGATACCTATATAATTTCTAATTGTCATAATTATAATTGAGATAAAGATATTAAATAATTCCAAATAGTTTATTATGGCCAATTACATACTTAGTAATGTTTGGACATACAAAGGATATAAAGTGGCTTAATTTAAAGATCTTATCACTCACCAAAATACCATACTGACTAGCTTTTAACTGACTGTTATGCTTTGTAACTCTACTTTCCTTCCCTGCTAATCTTCTGGGGAAACAATAAAGTGAATAATTGATTCCCAGAAGGCAGGAGAACAAGGGGAAGAGAAAGAAGGGGCTTCGTGGCATCCACAGTGAATTACCCTGCACTGGTGATTTGAAAGTGGGTTACTTACTGTGTTTGCTATGAACTGAATGACTCCCAAAATGCTTGTGTTAAAACAATGCCACTGTAGTGGTATTGTGAGCTGGGACCTTTTAGGACACGAATAAGTCATGAAGGCTGTGTCTTAGTCCTTATAAAAGGGCTGGGGCCCCTGTAGAAGGATTGGTGCCTTATCAACAGGCTTAGGCCCTGGTCTTGCTCCTTGGCTGTTCCCCAAGTGGAACACAGCCTGTGTGCTTTCTGCCTCTGCTACTTTGGCAGTATCCAGAGGCCTTGACAGAGTTCCAAAGACACAATTTGAGCTTCCCAGCCTCCAGAACTGTGAGAAATAAGCTTTATAAGTTACTAACTACAGGCATTTTGTTATGGCAACATGAATGGACTAAGATGCTAATTTTAAACTGAACAATAGAGACCATTAAACCAAAATCTAATTAGAAATACAAAGAAAAGTTGCAATTTCCCTTTTTACTGGAAAATAAAATGTGATTAAAGTTTAACTGCTTTCCTTTTAGGCTTGCATGTGGAAGTTTTGGGGACTGAAATTAAACAGCTTTCCTGATAATTTGCAAATAATGTAATGTGGACTTTAATCCTAACAATACAATAGCAGAAAAGGGGGGAAGTTTGGAAGATAAAACATTTTAGGTTTCATGATAAGTATATGCTTTGCTATCCATTTAATTCAGAAATTCTCAAGAACCTAAGAGTTGATGATTAGAAATTGATCCCCTCTCACTTCCTATGCATCTGAACTGTTGTCATTTTATCAGCACTGAAGCCTAAAGAAGATAATGACACTAAGCAGTAATCGTCATTGTCAATTTTGCTAGATTATTTGGATTTGTTTGCAAAGTGGGATTGCTTATGAGGGCTTTTCAAAGATATTTAACTAAGAAGAGAAGACATAGAGCTTAAATGCAGGTGGCACCACTCCACAGCCAGGGTTCCCAGCTGAATAAAAGGAGAAGCTTGGCTGAACACCAGCATTCATTTCTGATTCCTAACTCTAAAGGAAATAGGACCAGCTGCCTCGTGCTCCCACCTCCATGCCTTCTGGGCCCTGCTGGTGCACCCTCAGACTGTGAGCCAAAGCGAACTCTTTCTTCTCTGAGTTGCTTTTGTCAAGTATTTTATAACAGCAGTGAGAAAATTAACTAGCACACAGGGGCTTCTGGGTAGAATCGGGAGGTGGAGCCTATGAGAGGCAGAGGGCCCTGTCCTCCTGCAGTCCATATGGCAGCTCAGGCCTAGATAAACATTGAAAGCAAGCTGGCTTATTCATGCTATACTTTTCTGCTCACTCATTTGAGAATTTTTATAAATGAAAGGCTAAAAAATAGTATTAAACACTTTCCATGTTATAAAATATAGTACTCACTGAAGGACCACAAATAAACTTTCAACTAAGAACTCCTTGGAAAGTATTCATAAATGACTGAAATACTTTCCTGCAATCGTCTGTGAGAGTCATCCCACAAGAATTTTCTAATACATGTTACAGTAATAAGCATATCTATTCTCTATGGTAAGTGCATGGTAATTAACTTGCTTCTGATCAATATGGTAGTTGATAAGTAAGATAGGCCTTGGAAGATAACAATATAAATTTCCTTTCTAATATTTTCTTTTCACATTTTACTGAACTAAAATTTATATGCAAATTTGTCCAACTATTTCATACATATCTCCTATGTTACATAGACAGTAAAGTTTTAAGTGCCCAGTTTCACTTGTTCATGTAAGTAGATATCACCCAGATTAAGATACAGGGCATTTCCTCAAAGGGTCTGCTCATGAATAGGCATTAATAGATTCTGGATAACCCCTGTTCTGCTCCCTATAATCATATTAGTTTTACCTGCTCTTAAATGTCTATTAATGAGACAGCATATCTTTATGTGTATGGCTTCTCTTTAATGGAACAAACTGGGGTTAATAAAGAAAATATTAGAGCCCAGATACACAGAGGTGGGCCTAGGCCCTCTCCCAAAGGATACAATAGACACTGATGACACCCTGTGGAAGGCCTCATCATCCAGGGGGAGCAGAAAGGATGTGTGATAGATAGGGTTTTAGCTGGGGGTGGTGGTGGCAGGGGAGGACGGGTGGGAGAAGGGAACTGGGATTGTCATGTAAATCAATCCTGTTTCTAATTCAAATAAAAAAAGTTGAAAAAAAAGAAAATATTAGAAGGGAAAAACATGACCAAAATATATCGCATGAAATCAAGTATTTAAATTAAAGAAATAAATTAAAATAATAAAATAAAGGTTTTTAATATATGGATGAGCACAGGCATTAAGGAGGAGAAAGAGACTATCAGAGGACAGTGCCGTGTGTGCTAAAACAGGTGTGGGCTTCTAAAGAGTCACCTGATTTCCCTTTTATTTACAAAAATGGTTTTCAATAATACAGCTATTGATAACCTTCATTTTTTTTTTTTTTTGCTTTGCTATACTACTCTTTAGAACAATGTAGAATTCCCTCTGATTTTGTGAGGATTCCTAAGGTTGAGATTTGTATTTCCTCAGGGAAAAAAAAATCTAAGGAATGAATCACCTTATGGAACGAATGGTAGTAAGCTTTTGGAACTAGAAGAGTGAGAAGTGGTGAGGGAAGATGAGGAGGATTAGAGTGTCTGGCCGCTAAATGAACAGATAGACAATTGTGGGATTCTTGCCATCATGGGGTTAAATGGGTCACGTCCCCATTTAACCCTCTCTATCACCAAGCTCCTGGTAGCAAGCACATGCTTTTGACCTTGTATGAGTAAATCTGTGATAATGTTTTCTGAATAGATTAGGAAATATATGATCAGAGTTCAAACTCCTACTTGCCTGGCATCATCTGTCCTGAGGGTATATGCATGGTATGAGAAAATTTAAGGAAAAGAAACCGAAAGGGAAAGCTGACAAAAAGACGAAGTCAGAGGGTAATAGAAACCCTCCTCCCAAACCAATAAGGCTACAAAATGAAATGTGTTTCTCAAAGGAGAACCCACAGCCTTGAGAAGTGATTAAGGGTTGAGGCACAAATGAGAAATACATCTATGCAAGCAAATTTCATTTTGTATGTTTTCTTCTAATTTTTTTTTACAATAAATTCCACTGGATCCAGTTTAAAATTTCAAAAGGAGATCCAGGGACAAATCCAAGATAAACATGAAAATTTAAATGGGCAGTGCAAAACCAAAATTCAAAGCTGCTGGTGCTCCACAATGTTAAATAGTAACTATAAGGGGTCCCTGAGCCCAGGGAGCAAAATGTGGCTACCACGGGGGCGGGGGGGGGGGGGGGGGAGAAACCCCAGAATGACTGCTTCAGATACCTGCCTGGGCTCAGACTGCTGTAGAGATCACTGCTCAGAGAGGCACATTGCTGCGAGTAACAACTGCACTTGGCGGTTCTCACTGGGTTAAGTAATCATCCCCAATTCAACACAAGTGCAAATGTAAAAATTCACTCACCTGTACAAAACCGCATGCTGTGAAGTCCTCAAAGAAGGGCAGACTTGGGCGGTCTTCTCTATAGATGCTGAGTTTATAGGTGGTTTCTGTGTCACCCTCTGCTGGAGATTTATCCACCACGAGCATGGAAATTCTGTTCATTCCTAATCCCAGGGGATAGTTGGCAAAGCTGAGAGTGGAGAGCCGACGGAGATGGAGAGTGAGAGATAGAAGAGAATTACTATGGATGGGGACAATTATTGAGTCCAAACAGATTCAGACATCAGTATTTATCAGCATCATCAGCATCATTATGATGATTGTTACTTGACTAAAACATGTAAGAGATGCTTCACAAGAAATATGAAATATCGAAAATCTAGTTCTTAGCTATACTAGGGATCATCTTTTAGAACAAGTTATGTCCTACATTAACTAGAGGGGAAGAAAGTAATATTTACTGACACCTTTCAGGGTCAGGCCATTACTTCTAACACAACAGCTCTATACAAACCACAATGGCCCTTATAAACTCTTTTTAATTCATTTGTTTTTTTAAGACAAGGTTTTTGTATATAGCCCTGGCTGTCCTGAAACTCACACCGTAGACCAATCTGGCATCAAACTCAGAGACCCACCTACCTCTGCCTCTCAAGGGGCATGCCTGGGATTAAAGGTGTGCATCATCACTGCCCAGCAACATAGAGAATTTTAAAAAGAACTGATAATCAACTGCCTCAAGTTACATAGAGCCAGGGCAGAACCCAGATAAGAAAGACTGAATCCTTTTTTCCTTTCTCTATTATTTCATTTTCTTTTTTTCCTTCCCTTCCTCCCTCTGCCTCCTTTCTTCCCTTCCTTTGATAGATATTCTCATGTATCCCAGACTGACCTCCAAGTGAATACTGAACCCAAGGTTTCTTGTATGCTAGGCAAGCACTCTGTTAATGGAGGGATATCCTGAGCTCACATCCTTTCTTTTTTTAATTAATTTTTATTTAAATTAAAAACAATCTTATTTTACATACCAATCCCAATTCTCTCTCCCTTCTACCCTCCCACATCCCCCACCAGCCCTCATCCCACCCTGCATCCACTCACCAGGGAGGGTGAGGCCTTCCATGGGGTATCATCAAAGACTGTCACATCATTTGGGGCAAGACCTAGGCCCTCCCCACTGTATCTAGGATGAAAGAGTATCCCTCTATAGGAAATGGGCTCCCAAAGTCCATACATGCACTAGGGATAAATACTGGTTCCACTGCCAGCAGTCCCATAGACTGCCCAGGTCCCCCAAATGGCATCCTTTTTATATACTATACTGGACTGTCATCAATGCCAAGCACATTTCTTTCCCTGCAGCAGTGGTTCTCAACCTTCTTAATGCTGTGACCATTTAATACAGCTTATTAAATGTTATGGTGACCCCAACCATAAAGTTATTTTCATTGCTACTTCACAACTATAATTTTGCCACTGTTATGAATTGTAATGTAAATATCTGTGTTTTCCAGTGGTCTTAGGTGAACCCTGAAAAAGGACCACTCAACCCCCAAATGGGATCGAGACCTATAGGTTGATAACCTCTGCCCTATGGCATGAACTTATATCTTCCTCTTTATGGACACTATCTGTAACAATGTTCTGTTTCTGTTCAAACTTTCAAATAAAAGAGTTGGAGTCTTTCAAAAACATCTATGGAAAATAACAACAAATGAAGAAGTAAGTAAACAAATAAACCCTGCAAGATGAGCAAAGTCAGCATACTGTGCCCACAGATTGTCACCAGACTAGAGACATTGGCTTAGGGTAAAAGGGGGGGTCACTTTTTATAAGCATCAGCTCCAACAATCTGAAAAAAAAAAAAAAGAGAAGATGCACAAAGCTGAGTTCTTGATAGCTCCCCCTCATCTTACATCTCAAGGCCCTCTTTTGTTATGGTACTGTTATGAAGATTAACTCCCTGTTTTGTAGATGGGTGGAGAATCTGTGCTTGTTTCTAAGCACATGAGGCCTCTCAGAGAGGCAGACTTCCCACCACCATGCTTTCCAGGACCATGTTTCAGCTTTTCTGAGCCACCAGTGAAGGTGGAATCAAACATCTGCTTTCTGGTGAGAAGTTGAGTCAGCCAGCGCACATCCCCATACCTTGGCCCTGCCCGCTCCTGCAGGTGCACCTTGCACTGACACTTAGAAGTCTCTGCTCCAATCCTCACTGTTAGTACATCAAACGGCACTTCACAGTAATAATCTTTCACCTTCGGATTAAACTCGGGATTTAGTTCCAGACGGGGATGGGTGAAGATCTTGATATTGCAGACTGTGCCTTTCCCTGTTCCCAAGACAGAAAGAATGACAACTGTGAACTGCATATAAATTTTAAAACTGCATGCAATTAAGGTGTTTTACCCTCCTACTCCTAGGCACAGTTTCAGTGATCAGTGGCTATCCACTAAACACTTGGGCGCCACTGATTTATGGCATCAACATGATTTCCAATTTGTCAGATATGGAGGAGCTTCCACAGGCCAGCTGTTCACTGTAGTTGGTGCAATACAGACAGTATTTTTTCTCAGTCCTTGAAATGATAAAGGCATGGGAGATGGGGGGAAATGTCTCTCCTGTCGGTTGATTGATAACATCCTCGTGAAATGTAACATCGTAATCAACTATGAAAATGGAGACAATGTCTCCATGGGACAGTGACAGAAGGGAACCAGCAGCCAATCAGGAAATTTTCTTAATGAAATGTCATTAAACTGCCATTAGTTTTTCAATGGAGTTCTTAATAGGTCTAGTAATAAAAACGTGGAGTCAGATAGAGAAGAAAATACTGAGAGCTCAGAGAGAAGAAGGAGCAAGCCAAAGCCACCTTTACCTCATTAACTTCCCAGCACAAAAGACACCAAGTTCCTGTTTCTTCCTGCTAATATCTTTTCTCTTCCCAGCCATCTTACTTCCTGTCTCTGTCCAGCCATCTTACTTCCTGTTCCTACCCAGCCATATCACTTCCTGTGACGACACCAAAGCTACATCCTCTGATCTTGGACAAGCAAGATATCACCACATTAGTTGATATAGACTGGTATGGTAGAGAAGAAATGTGAACTTTGGTGTCGTACCAAACACATAGCTCAAAATATCCACAAAGCATCCTGAAATTCCTTCCCAAGCCACTTCATCAGGGGAAAGTGTCATAAAGTAATAAAAAGAAATGCCATATCTGTTTAAACCTGTACTCAAGCTTATAATGATTTCATGCCATTGACTATAGATTTTCCTTCGGCAACTCATTTTATAGCAAATACTATCTTGTTACAAGAAAGGGAAAACAGCTTTAGTGGTGCACACACACACAGCCACTATTGAATTACACAAAACATTAATATTTGGAATGGGTAAGTACTCAAGAGTTTATCAAAATGGATTTCAATGTAGTATCTACAAGCATTTTATCTATTCTTTACAACAGTCAATAAAACTCCAGCAAATAATGTAAGTATAGAAAACTCTCCTGAAATCAGCGAAGTGACAGCAACCTAGCATCATTGGACATTCAGTGATACTGAATAGCACAGCAAGCAAAGGCTCAATGCCAGAAAGTATGGAACTAAAGTTAGCAAAAACTTGTTCTAGTCACTTCTGCCCTTCTTGTTTTCCTATAGCTGTCATAATAGTTTCTCAAATTTGATGATTTGTTATCATTTATAGTAGTATTTTTGCATCATTTCCAGAGTCAAACTAAAGAGGAAAGGCATTCCACAAGTCCACCTTGTTTTGCTATCCATTGGTTCCACTATCATGTCCTGGGCTTTGTACTTCACGAAGACCAAAATTCTGATATGCCTTTGAGGACAGCAGAGAAGCATCACACAAGGTGGGAACAGAAAACCATCATCCAGCTGTGGCATTCCAACCCTGAGAACCAGGTCTCCCCATAGCTGCCTGCATGCTCTAAACAAAGCTAATACATGCATTCTGTCTCCTATTCTGTGGTCTTCCCTGCTGGTGGGAGAAAAACAATTAATCAAGTATAAATTAAGAGCACAATAGTTTTGTGGGATATTTGTACACTGTGTGAAGACATACTACTCTGATTGCTTTAATAAGAGCTGAACAGGCAATAGCTAGGCAGGAGGTATAGAAGGGACTTCTGGGCAGATAGAAAGTAAGTCAGAAATAATTGAGGCACAGAGAGATACAAAGAGATGCCAGGAGACACAGAAAAAGTCAGAGGTACAAAAAATGAAAGAAAGGTAAAAAGTTGCATTTTAGAATGTAGATGTTAGAATATGGCTTAATTTAGGTTCTGAGAGCTAGTTAGGAACAAGCCTAAGCTATAGGCTGAGCTTTCATAATTAATATTAAGTCTCCATGTCATTACTTGGGAGCTGACTGGCTGGACAGAGAAAGATTTGTCACAGAATAGTATCATAAATACGGCATAATTTCATTCTACAGAAAGGTATTACTTTGTTGAATCTTTAAGTGGTTTGAGTACACCACTTCATTTTTCTTGACATTTGAAAAGAACAAGCCAACAAAAGATTTTTTCTGGCTGATATACATACATAGGTAGATTTCAATCGTAATTTCAATAATATGTCTCAATATGACCCATAAGACTATAAGTATGTAGTTTTATGACTTACACTGAAAAGAATCACTGCTTTTATTTCAGATTCAATGGCTCTTTTAATAATGTATTGATTTTCAAAGTCCCACAACCCTATCCACATGTTCAAGGCATGGAGATAAGCACAATGAAAATAGGTGGCTAACAGTATGGGATATGATCCAATTGCTCTGACCCCAGCATAACACTAACCAAGCTGGAGCAGTGATCACCATTCATGCTGCCCAGGCATGAAGGGGATATAAACGTACTCTTTTGCACAGGGCCACTTAAGTGAAGAGAAAGCAGTAGATGGTTGATTGTTTCGTCAACATGAATCACAGACAATGTCTTTTAACTTAATAGGCTTGCTTTTTTCTTTTATACCCTTAATTTATTTCATTTTGACACAAGGTCTTTCCATGCAGCTCACACTGGCCTTGAGCTCCTGATCTTCCAGCATTGGCCTCCCAGCACCGAGGTTACAGGCGTGTGCCACTTCTATTAACTGAGAACATATTTTTTATAGCGATTTAGTGAGAATTAATTTCCTTTTGGTTTATAGTATTTACGTTTCTTTTTATATTTCACAGGGCAGTCACAGTTTTCAAAGGCGGCTTGTACTTCTTATAAATTGAACCTCACCTCCACAAGAGATGAAATGAATGTGCGATTACTTTCTCAAATAAGATTTTAGCAAGACTGCCCCATTCACCACCACCACCACCACCACCACCACCAAACTTTCCATGTCTGGGTTGGGTGCTGCGTCCTGGACCCTTACTTGAAAGTTGATTTAGCGCTGACATCATTGCAACTGAATAAAGGCTGCTGCCTGTAAACACCTGGTGTGTCCTTGGCTTCTTTCCCAGTCCAGTCCTGACTTGTCTCAGGCTTACCTTAGATCTATGAGAACCCAGCATGAGGGATGGTAGTAGCAGGCTCCTTAACCTATTTGGCAAGCATACACGGGAAGGCTGTTTGAAGTTTTGGTGGTTTTTATCGGATTTCTTTTAACCATAGGATTTTATTGCTCTCTTGATGGATCATCGTAACTCATATTGAACACAGGAAAGGCTTATTCTCTTAAAGATAACCCCACCTGTGCAGGAGCATCACCCAGCATATTTTTAAATCTTCTATCAAACCATAAAAGCAGGGAGATTAATTGTAAAGATACAAGTAAGATGAATTTTTCATCAAGGAAAAAAAACAACATGAATAAAGTTGAAGAGATTTTCTGACAACGTGCCTCTCATCTACATCACATTAACTGAAGGTGATAAGTTCATCCAGTACAGAAGCCCAAAGAGATGATATGGCTTTTCCAAGTTGCATTTAGCTCTGGGCCTTGCCCAGAACAGACTCTCAAAAAATATTACTACTTCCAATTCTGTCAGTTTCCTCACTGAGGTTTTTTTTCTTTAAAAATCATACCAGAGCAGCAGGGTACCCAGGAGAAAAGAGAACCTGGTCTTGTAGGTGTGAGGGATTGGTCATGAGGGTGGGGGGTGTTTGGGGGGGGCACACTGGCTCTCTTTTCCCTAGTAAGAACAGCAATATTTGAGAAGCTTTCTGTTCTTAACTGAATGCACTTGTGGATTTCATAAAGACTAATATGACTCAATCCAACATGATTTTTGATATGATTATTGAAAAGGGATGACTAAATATCAGTATTTAGAAGGCAAACAAGTTAGATTGTATTTATTATAAGACTTCTATTTATAATAAATTAAGCTTAAGTTTACACATTCCATTTTTTCAACTATCATGTTTTAGAGGAATTTATTTTGGAAGACAAGATTTCTCTTTTCTATTCTGTTTGTTGTTGTTGTTGTTGTTTGGTTTTTTGTTTTTGTTTTGTTTTGTTTTTTGGCTTTTCAAGACATGGTCTCTCTGTGTAGCCCTGGCTGTGCTAAAACTCACTCTGTAGAAATGGCTGGCCTTAGAACTCATGGAGATATGCCTGCCTCTGCCTCTGAGTGCTGTGATTAAAGGTGTGCGCCACAACCACCCAGAAGATAAATCTTCTAAATGCATACTTTAGCAAAATGTATAAATAGACTGGTAGATGTGAATCTATTTTAAGAGGTATATGTTGAAAAAAATAAACCTACAATGGAGAGCTTCTAATTATCTACATAATATAAGATATTAAGAAGGGGGCTGGGGGGAGGGGACAGGGAAAGAGAGGAGGGAAAGGGAACTGGGATTGACATGTAAAAAAAGCTTGTTTCTAATTTAAATTAAAAAAATAGAAAAAAGATATTAAGAAAATTCAGGAGGCTGGAGAGTTGGCTCAGTAGTTAAGAGCACTACACCCGCTGTTCTTCCAGAGGACCCAGGTTCAATTCTTAGTGTCACATGGCTGTGAGCAGCCATGTGTAACTCCAGTTCCAGGAGTTATGAAAAGCACATCCAACACCCTCTTTTGGCTTCCTTAAGCTCCATCATTCACTTGTGGGGTGCACAGACATACATGCAGGCAAAACACATACATGTAAAACACATAATTTTTTTTAAAAAGAAAAGAAAACTCAGGACGTTAGGACAAATCTGAAGGGCACAATCCATCTCAGTCATTTAATAGCTCTGTGACCTTGAAAGTCAATGGGACTCACTAAAAAAGACAAGGTTAGAAGACCATTGTTACTGTATCAAACCAGATGAGCCAAGTGACTTTTAATTTAAATTTTTCGTAAACTTAAACTGCATATGTATTTCATTTTGTATAGTTAAAATTCATCATATTTTAAGAAGATAAACCAAAAATTGAGTTTGAAATTCTCAGTTGTTACAGAGAGAATTCTACTCATGTACTCCCCATTATTAAGTAATGGCCTAGGAGGAAAAACTTAATTCAGGATAGTGAGATTTCTAAAGAGCATGTCTAAGCCAAATTGTACCTCTAATGTAAAGCCTTAAGATTCCTTGGGCCCCTAAAAATAAGCCTGAAAGTCATGGGCCTCAAACAACATATATACATATAATATTTTAAACTAAAAATCTGAATAACTAAAAATAAAATTTTCTATTGAGGCGGAAGTCACAGATATTAACTTACCCAGAAATGAAATGTCCCCAAATTTACTTGAAACTAGCAGCCTAAAGACATCTGAATATGATAAAATGTTTATTTTTTTGATTTGCATTATGTCTAAACGGTGGGCTGTACTATGGAAACATTCAGTCTCAACTCACCATTACTGCAGTGTATATCTTTATTTTCATGAAAAACTCTTGGAACTGCATCTGAAATAAAAAATTAGATTAAAAAATAAAACTATGAATTTAATGTAAAAATTCTCTCTCTTTCTCTCTCTCTCTCTCTCTCTCTCTCTCTCTCTCTCTCTCTCTCTCTCTCTCTCCTTCCTCCCTCTGTCTTTCGCTCTGAAGTTGGACCTACTGACAAGCTAGACTGTCCAACCAGAAAGGCCTGAGGATTTGCTAGTCTCTACCCCCTCCCCACTGCCAGGCACTGGGAACTTTCACCATCATACCCAGAGTTCTATTTGGGACGCAGATACTCGTGTACAAATAGCAAGCACGTTACTGACTCAGTCATCTCTCCACTCCTCAACAATGAGATTTCTAAGCACCACTGACAGCTACAATACATTTAGCTATTGGCTTCAAAACTCAAACAAGTGATTACTTCTAGTAGGGGAATATTAGAGGAACAGATGAGTGGTCTAAATGACATTTTATCCTGAAGGTAAACTATTACATATTCTTCTGGTTCTGTGATCCTATGCTATAATTTCCTAAATTGTTGGAAAGAGGATGTTCTAACCAGTTGGTTACCCTGTATGTTCCAAGTTTCCAGATGACTAAATATTCATCTAAAAAAAATCCTAATAAATATTTATGGACAAAGGAATGCTTAAAATATGTAGAGTGCTTTAAAAATATTCATTTAAAAAGAAGTGGTGGCGGAAGAGAGTAGTCAAACTCAATCATCATCCGTTCATTGCTGTTTCTACTCATTTTGTTGAATCTGTGGTTCTCAAACTAGTGTTCTGCAAACTCACTAGTGGGATCTAAACCAAAATTCTGGTTAGAAGATTCAATGCAGCACCACGAGGAACCATAGTATCAGACTAAATCCCGCTTATAATAAGAGTTCTTTAGTTAAAATAAATAGATATATTGATGGGTATTTCTTTCATTTTTTCTTCTTAAAATATTTTTCTTCTAATGACAAAACATTAGATATTTTTAAAAAAATAGAATAGGAAGGAAAAAAAAAGAGGTAAGTCGGGGTAATAAAAAAATCACCACTAAACTTCCTTGAGGTTCCTCTTGCTAGTAGGCAGCTGTTAATCCAACCATATAGCCTGAACATCTTTCATGGCAAATGTTCTTCCCTAGCTATTTATAGACTTTTATTTCAGGACTGTAAGTTCACAGGTGCATTCAGTCTACTCTTACAGCAATAATGGTGAATTCTATTTTTTTCACTTATTACCTGTTTATTTATTTTTACAATTTGATGAAAATTGTATTATAAATAGGTACTAAACTTTTTTTGGAAGTTATATTACTGTTCATTAAAATACTTAAATATTTAAATGTTCATGCATATTAATTATTGTCTTAAAATGAATAGTTAGAAGTAGAATTTCTAGTGTGTGAGGGTAAATTTTATTTAACTAGATAATCTATTTTTGTGCATTAAGGACTGAGCCTACAGCCTCTACATATGAAGCATGTGTTCTACCACTGAGTGCTTAGGCCCCAAGAGTAACTTTTAAAGTTTACTTTCCATGATATCAAGTAGTCCCTTAGCATGTGCTCTAATGGAAGCATTTACTGTCAATATGAGAACACTCATTTCCCTTCACACCTCCCTTATCTTTAAGAAGAACACTCAATTTTGAGGAGAAAAATACCACTTTCTTGCTTAATTTTCATTTTTGACTGCTAACAAAGTTAAACATTTTAAATATATCTTTGAGCCAGATAGTACTCTATGCTGTGTGGGACTATATGCTTTTACCTTCTTTGCTTTTGATTGCTTCTAGTGACTCTGGTGTTTTCTGAATGGTCTTGTTTCTTGTTGAAGAATTCCTGTGAAGACAATGCCAAGCAAGTCCAGATCAACAAGGTGAACACACTGTCTTTTGTCCTGGGAGGGCACAGTTATTTTGGTGAAGACCAGAAGCACTGTCTGGACTTCCTCGAGGCTGGCTATCTAGTCTCCAGTGAGGTGGGTACAAATCCTATCATTGCTAACAAGTAGGTGCATAGTTGAAGAAACTAGTGAAGAAACAGTTACTCTGGTTGGAAGCTGAGCAACCTCAGATAGCCCAGAGCCAACAGAGGTGACTAAAAAAAATGCACATTCTCACAGGGATCTCTACCTAGCATTCCACTGCTCTGATGCCAAGAGCCTTGAACTTCCTGAGACACAGCCTGAGAATGCCCACAAAAGTGGAGAAACCAACATGGCTCCAGGTAACAACGGAAGTTGCCCGGGCATGTGTCCCTACACTCCCCAATAACCAATAGAGAACAGCCAAGCTTGTTTAAGTCTTGGCATGCTCCCTTCATTTTCTGTGTCCAATAAGGAAACAAATGCTTGGCTGGATGAGCCTTTAAGTCCTTCAAATTGGAGCTAAAGTAACCTAAATTGCAGTCAGAAAATTTTCTGGTCTGAGTAATAGGGAACACAGGGCACTGTGGTCTCTAGCTCTTGACATGACTTTCCTGTGTTGATATGATGCTTTGCTATCTGTCACCTCCATTAAAACGGAGATAATAGCATCTTCTCTACACAGTAACACTGAGAATCAAATAGAAACACCAGTGCCGGACATTGTGCTGAGAAATTTGGCACAAAGGCATCTTCAGGTCTATTATAGCATCATCATCGGGCAAGAACTCTCAAAGAACATAGGCATTAAACAGAGTTTGCTAGGTGCTAATTAGCATTTTTATCACTGTCAATGCTAGAAGTTATGATAATTTTTCTTCTAAAAGTCTGTTTTCTTTTGGCATATGAACACACACACACACACACACACACAAAGAAAAAAAAAAACACCTGGAGGCAACATGTAGTGATTCCTTCCAAGAAATGGAATAACAGGTAAAGCATGCTTGGCAAGAGCTATAAAGGTTTTGATGGTGCTGAGACATTTGATTGTTTGCTTATTTTTATTTTTGTAATGTTTGGGATCCAATCCGGAGCTTTCTGCACAGTGGCAATCACTCTTCTAATGAAGGAAGCCTAGCTGAAGTCCAAATTTTAAAAAGTCTAAGAATTTCCCATGAACAAGAACTTCCAGGAGACTCACTCAGGAGACACAACCTGCAATACACATGAACTGAATTATGGAAGCATGGCTGTCTCAATGGAGTGAGAACTTGTATGCAAGGGCATCATGTGGTTCTTTCTTGGATACCATTGTGAATGAATTATTTTTAAATTGGTGTGTATTTTCTAAGAAAACATTTCCACATAGCAAAATGCATGTGCAACTTTCTCTCCAGGAAAATGAAAATTAACCAACGTTTTAAAGGGTTCCACACTTCTTAGATTGGGTTGTCTGGATTCTGAGCCTTGGGGCTCACACGTAAATGTAAATGTTACCTATCACTGTTGACGCCCCAGCTTTGTCTTCTCTTACCCTGTTGCCTTGCTGCAAGCAAATGTTTTTTATTTCAAAGGAAAGATGAAGTCCTTAGATCCCAAGTACTGTACGTATATATAAAACTGCCTGTCTGTGGCCATTGTGAAGATTAAAACATGGCCGCCTCCCTGCCTGCATGGTACACTGGATAAAAGTGCAGAGCCGTGAGTGAGGCAGTCAGCCTGTCAGTATCTGTATTAGACGAATGTTTTATGCTACGGATTTGTCTTAGAATCTTAATTTCCCTTATCTGGGAAATTTGTGTGAGAGGCCTGATCCTCCTTTGATGATCATGAAGTATACACACTAACTGGTAAAGTGGAGATAATGTACACTCAGTACTTTAAAAATATTTCTGGGAGCACTATGCTATTTAACTTCTGATAAATATCAAAAATTTACTTCTGTCGGTGTCAATATAGAAAAGATTTTTGGACATGTGTAGCTTCCATTATAAAGGAAAGAAAAGTACTTCCCTCACCAGAGATGCTGAAATGACCTTTGAGCAACATAGATATGTAAAGGGAAAGATAAAATGTGTTTTATCACCTATTTACACTATAGTGTGACACACAAAAAACTTTATGTAATCCTTTTAGAATGTGTGGTAGGCAGCTTAAGCCATGTATACATGTAAAGAAATTAAGTCTTAGAGGACTCAGAGAACTTTGCCTGCTACAACTAATAAACTCTAATGTTGGGATTTTTTTAAATCCACCTTTGTGTGATTCAGAATAGTCCCAGTCTTTTATATTCAATTATGATCATTCTTACTTTTCGAGACCAGGCTGGCCTCGAACTCACAGAGATCCACCTGCCTCTGCCTCACGAGTGCTGGGATTAAAGGCGTGCGCCACCAATGCCAGGCCTTTCTTACAATTCTTTAAGGCAAGAGAACCCAGTCTTCTGATTCTAGGCAGTAGATTGCTGAACCTGCTCATATCTAAGGAGCTGGAAAAAACTTTGCCAAGGGAACAAATGGTATAAAGCTTGCAAATCTCTAGGGAGTTCACCAAACGTTACAAACAATACAAATAAGCTCCTTGGGAAATCTCGCCTGTTTTTTGCCTATCTGTACTGATGGATGAGGCAGTATTGGATTATTTGAGTGAAAGCAAAGTTTAAACAGTGGCTTTATGCTGTAGTATTTAAAACTGTTTTCAAGTACACAAGGAAGGCTTCATTTGGACTTACAGAGGGAATAAAGCCAGGCTTAGAAAGCTTTTGCGGTTAAAGTGAATGTTAATGCTAGGAGATGTTCTAAGAAGTATGCAGATACATGGTTATTTGTATTTTTAATTACAGATGACTTTCTTATAGTCACTACCTCCTTAAGCCGAAGGAAATGGGGGACAAGTGAACAGAGCTCAAGCTATTCCCAATGGTGACCGAAAGAGACACAGATGAGTGCCATGTCCCATAGTCTTTCATCTCCCTGGGAGGCTTAGGTCTAATTCTGTTTTCCTGGCAATAGAAAAGTCAGATGCTCTCTTAGTTCTATCCATATTAAAGAACAGACAAAACTTTAAGTGCATCCTCTTTGCCAGCTACTAGAGGCATTAATATCTCACCTGCCTGTTCCCTCATGGCTACCTCTTGTAAGGGTGGAATTGAAGATGGCAAAACACTCTCTAAAAGCAAAACAAACAAAGCGAAGTACAGATTTATAGAATTAGATCAGTTTTGTTCAGAATAAAGCCATGCTTCTATAACGCCCAAAAAAATGTGTCTGTTGTATCTATCTCCAAGATGATGGATGGTTCAGAACACAAACCCCACCAAATTTTCCCGATGCTTCAGTAATGCAAAGGTACTGAGATGGAAATGTCTAATTTTAAACGTTGATTTATAATGGAGTCACATCTTAGCTTGAAAACTGTTGGGTGTATTTTTGTTACAGTGTCTGACGACCACCAGAATCATTATGGTTTCAAGTGCTTTCAAGTGATTTCTTTTCCAGACCATGAATTTTAGGGCATACTTCCTTTGTGTTGCTCCCTTCACTGTAGGCAAAACCTTTTGAAATCAATCTTTTCGACTTTAGAATTTTTGGATTGTGCCATTCAAATTTGTGGCTTTCTTACCATTCCAGTGGATGTAGCTGTTCCTTTTTATTCATGGGCCAAAATTGTTCAGATATATTTAAAAGAGACCAGTATCGGGACAGTAGTGAGCTAGGATTTGCCATATCATAAAATTCATGCATCACAGACTGAATTCCAGGAACTGTGGATGGGAAGAGCTGAGAAGAGAATCAAAAAACAAACAAACAAACAAAAAAAAACAACAAAAAAAAAAAAACACCAACAGAAGAACAATCAGTGAAAATTTGAAACGTAAGTTGAAACATAATATTATGGATAGTATTTATATGTAGTCAGATACTGTCTTGCCCAGCAGTTATTTATTTAAAAACTCAAGGTCATGGGTTGGGAGGATAACTGAGTTGCAATGACAGCCTGAGTACCAGAGTCTGATGCCTGGGAAAGGCAAGCATGAACTCCTACAGAATCCAGCATGGAAGGCAGAGACTAATGAATCCTCTGCACTCATTGACTGGCCAGCACAGCCTACTTGGTGAGTTCTGAGCCAACAACAGAGACTGTCTCAGAAAACAAAGCAGATGCCACATGAAGAATGACAGCTGAAGCTGTCTTTGGACCGCCACACATATTTGCTCACACCTGTTCTTGTACACACACACACACACACACACACACACACACACACACACAAAGCAAATTAATCAGTATAGATTAATTTAATTTTTGGTACTGCTTTTAAGGCAAATGTTGCTTTTTAAGACATTGTGAAAGTTGTTGACAATCATTATGTATAAACAGAGTCATTTTTTTTCTTTTTGATGAGTATACAAGGATCTCTTCTTCCAGCAATCAAAACCTCAAAAGAGCAGAGGAAGACAGGCAATGGGGAAGAGAAATCCTTTTGTGCTACAAGTGAATTATTCCAGTGTAAGAACTATTAATCTCACAGAAAAGAGGAAATTGGTTATCTTTTTTTCTACTCTGAGAGTCAGGAAATTGAGGTTGACCCTTGCTTCTTTTGTTCTCTTGTCCCTGTAGAGACTGTCTGCATCCACAGTGTTTGGAGTGATGGATTCCCAACAGGTGAGCATCTTTCTAAAGCATCGAGCTAAACTGTAATTTATCAAATGTAAACTAACTAAAATGATAAATATATTAATTAAATTATGTTGGAGTCATAAACTTACTTTCAGTCTCTATAATATGGGGCAAAATTGCATTAAAAATTGTCAGTCATTCACTGGTTAACTTGGTAAACTGGTTACAACTCATATAAGTAACATGTGTATATAGGCTGAAAAAAACTACAAGGAATATTTGAACCTTGCATTAGGTTAATAACTCATCAATTAATTTACATACCATTTTAAAATAGTTTTATATGAACAAATATTAGGTAAAAATATAAACTCATTATAGTCTCTATTAGTAGCAGAAATAAAAGAAAACACATTGGGCATGGACATTCAGATGTCATCAATTATGTTTTGATACTGACCAATAAATTGATAAACACACCAAAAAGTCCAGGGTGAGAAGAAAATGCCTTTTTGCCAAATGAAACCAGCAAGAACTTCTAGGAGCGTTCACATACACTCTATTTTTGGACACTTGTAAATTTGCTACCACCAATTAAGCTGGGGCAGCCGAGGGAGAACTGGGAAGAGTTGAGACAGGGGAAACTGTGGGTGGAATGTAATGTATGAAAGAAGAACAAATTAAAAAAGATTTAGGCTGTTTTTAAAAGACTTATATTCAGATATATTTATTTTTTTCTCAAACTAAAGAGGTAATAAAAAGTAATAAATGCTGGTTGCATGTACAGGCCCCAAAACTAAAAGATAAATTTCTTTAGAAAAATACCAACATCTTTCCTAGAGAACAGCCACTCCCTGGCAGCTACTGTGATGTACCTCTGCTAAGATTACCTCTGCTAAGTCCCATATTATTAGCAAATGATTAAAGCAAAGCACATACATCGCCCCAAAAGGACAAAAGCCAACAAAAGACTCTGTGTTGTAAAGAGATATCTGGGTGTAACTGAAGGAAGAAATGGGCAGCTTGCAGCCAATCTATTAATATTATAACCCCAGTCACTAAGTGGAAAGACATGCCACTTTTGTTTTACCAGTTGGAATTCTCCCAGACTCCCAAGTTCCTTTACAAAGGTCCTAATTGAGTGAATTTCCTCCAAAGACAGGCACTGATTCAGCTCCTTTCCGTAGTTTCCGTCCTAGAAAGGGAAACAGTCCTAAGTAACCCTGGAACGTTAAAATCATCTTTCCCCAGTCACCCCACCACCACCTAACAAATCAGTCAAACTCTATAACAGCTACACATATTAAAGTTATAGAATTCATAGACAAATATACGTTGTCTCAACAACACCCAAATATATTAAAAAATATTTCATACTTGACAATCTTGACTGTCTTAATAACGCAATGGTGCACTGGTAGTGAGGTCAGGGAGGTGGGTACAAGACGACAGGATGTGTGTGGCAATGGTTTGGGAATACAAGATTTTCCTTGGGCCTTCAGAGCAATATGCATGAAAACACCAAAGAATATCTATCCATTGACGTCCAGTGTAGGACACTGCCATTGGAGAGTCTCATAGACTGGTAAACACACTCCCCACCTGTAAGGATAACTCTTAACCAGCCGCCTAAGTTCCACCGCCACGTTAGGGCCCCAAAATAACACACAGAGTCTTATATTAGTTACAATGCTGCTGGCCAACGACTAGGACCTCCCACTTGTTAACTCAGTCTCAATCATCTACCATAACCATTAATCTATAAATTTTATAAAGACTTATCTGATCAAGGACACTTTATGTGTCCTCTCTTCCCAGGGCTCGCATGGCGACTCCTGTCTTTACTACATTTCCAAGAATCCTCTTTCTCTCCTAGCCCCACCTATCTTGCTTTCCTATTGGCCAACAGTGCTTTATTTATCAACGAATAAGACAAACATATACACAGAAGGACTTCCCCCATCACCCACCCCAGGTTTTCCCACATCCATTGTTCCCTAGAGCGTCCCTGAGATCAAGAGCAATGCTCTGTGACAAGGTGTATGTGACAGACACCAATAGTACCTTTGTGAAAACTTTTACACACTCCTTTTCCAAATTCTTTAAATATGAGTTTCAAAATAGAAAGACATGTGGGGGGATAGTATTATGATAATTGGCACAGATTTTTTAGTATTATAAAAACAATGTGCTAACAATATAAACAACCAAAACACAAAACAAAACAAAAAAATCAGCATTTCTCTGAAGCATTCCACTCTGTCAGCATATAGCCATGCTGACATGAATATTTCAGCAAATTAATATTTTTTAACTCAATTCTCCTGAAGTCATCCTGGAGCACTCTGGAATTCTAGACTGCCTTCAGAGAGTTTTAAGAGTCTTTGTAAAGTATTCTAAAATGTATAAACACATGTATCATTCAAAATATCTATAAACGTTCCTCAACAATTATGAATTTTTCACTTCATTTTCATCACAGTCTTTCTCGTGCATACTTAGTTAGTATAAAAGGATGTTGATCACTGAACTCTGGAACCCAGTTGCAGAGAGGAATAAACATCAAGGGGGTCGGGACCAGGCTGGTGAATCCCAAAGAAACAGCTGACCTGATCAAGGGGGAGCACATAGACCACAGACTGCTGTCTGGGAGGCCAGCACGGGACTGATCCAGACCCCTGAACGTGGATGTCAATGAGGAGGCCTCAGCACTCTATGGGGCCCCTGGTGTTGGAGCAATATTTTTCCCTGGTGTAAGAAGGGACTTTGAGAGCCCATCCCACTTGAAGGGATGCTCTCTTGGCCTGGACACATGGGGGAGAGCCCAGGCCCAGCCCAGGATGATGTTGTAGAACTTGGGGAGCCCCGTGGAGGGCCCTACCCTCCATGGGGAGCAGAGGGGGGAGGGGACGGGTGAAGGACTAGGGGAAGGGGAGAGAGGGAGAAGGGATTGACATGTGAAATTATAATTTTGTAAAAATTAAATAAAAAAACAGGAAAAAAAGGATGTTGGTCCTTAGGTCAGAAAAATTTAGAAGCACAAGATAATAGATTATAATTATTAATTAATTTTAAATAAAGTAATAAAATTTAAATTACACAATAAAAATAGCTAGTGGCTGGAAAGCACTGTCAGTGTTCATGTATGAGCTTACCTCAAGCACACCCTCTCTATAAAGCCTCTGCAATTGCTCAGAAAGCAGGGAAAGTGAAGATGTATTGGAGAAGAGGAAACTGAAAGTATCCTTTAAAAGAATTTTTTCTGTCTTTTGGTCCTCCAGATTGAAATTCTCATCATCTCGAACTTTCAAATGCTCATGTACCTTTGAAGGAAGAGAAGTAGGGGGGACATTACAGTGAAATGAATTCTAAGGCATGATTTATTTCAGGTTGGATTGTAGACCAGAACTGACATCTAGTGGTCTTCTAGAGGCTAACACTTTTATAAATGTGAGTATTGTTTCTTATGAAGATGCCATTCTTTTAATGCAGAGTAGCATGAACTATTTCAAAGTCACACTAGCTTAGCTTGACACTCTTTGTAGCTCACAAACACATATTCATGAAAGATACTACATAATATTTTCCCAAAATACAAGTTCTTAAGAGTTTAACTATTAGATATGTATCAAAAAGGCAAGTGACCATTAAAAAAATTTGAAAATTCATAGATAAATCTTAAACATGCAAAATTTCTGTAATTGTATTTCTATATTATAGTTTGCAAAAACTAAACTCTAGTGGAGTTGAACCCTGCCTATCCCTAAGATTAACTTGTTCCCCTTCCCCTCCCACCCTACAGCCCAGTGAACAGCTTTTCATAAATTAACTCAACCAATGTTTTTATCTTCTTACTACTGAAGTGTGTTTTAGAAGGAAAAATATGATGAAGGAAGTGGTATAGAAGAATTTTAACTCAAAACAAACTAAAAATCACCCATATATATGTGTGTGTGTGTGTGTGTGTGTGTGTGTGTGTGTGTGTGTGTGTGTGTGTGTGTGTAAACATATATATGGATATACATACATATATCAGAAAATATTTCAAAAATTCACATGACTTTGTATGCTTTTAAATTAAAATTGAAAAATAATTTGTTTATTTGTATTACTAGGGATGAAACCTAGGGCTTAGTGCATTCCAGGCAAGAATTCTGCCACAGATCAGTCCCTCTAGTTCCTATTGGCTTTTTGTTGTTTTGGGTTTTTTGTTTTGTTTTGTTTTGTTTTTATTTATCAAGACAGGGTTTCTCTGTGTAGCTTTGGAGCCTATCCTGGAGGAGACCAGGCTGGCCTTGAACTCACAGAGATCTGCCTGCCTCTGCCTCCTGAGTGCTGGGATTAAAGGCATGTGCCACCAATGCCCGGCCTCCTACTGGTTTTTTAAATGAAAATGTAGACCAATTTAAGAAGAATTGCAGAGCTAGCTCTCTGTTCATGATGCCATGTGAGTACCCTGGGTCATCTTATGTTTGCTAGTATCAATATGCCTTCCTTTTCCCCATGAACATATACTTGACTTAATATTATCTTTGTTCATGAATTCAGGGAAAGTATAGAAAACTTCGTGTTTGTTCTAGTGTGTCCACATGGTGATAAGAATTCACAGATTTCCCACTTGCTGGGAGCCTTGGGGCCTATGAACCTATAAGGACTGTAACCGAAGCTGTTATTAGTCAACTGGTAATTGTGAGTGAAAGTACACCCCCCCTCAACACACACACCTCGTCCTGCATACTCACCTGGAGCACTACAGGGTGTCCCGAATCTCCATAACCAATATCAAAAGTTAAAAGCTGAAAACACTGTCTACACCTGGGAAGGAAAAACACAAAGTATCAGAATAGCATATTCTCTTTGCTACACTCACTCTACTATCTGGTATTGCATTGTTTATAATTTATACAGTTAAATTTCTGTGATTTAAAAGGCCAATAGAATGGATAACAGAAACTTATAGGAAATAGATTGTTTTTAGAGAAAGAGCAAATATACCCCCATTCTCCATGACACACTACAGTAACGAATGACATTATTTCATGAGAACCTTAATACAGGGAGAAGTGTCCAGGTCCTCCAAGCTTAAGACTAATGCTTGCAGAAGGTTTAAGGATGAGCCATATACATTGCCTTTGCTGGCAATGAATTAGGGAAGAATTCTGCTTGGTATGGAGATATGGAAACCTAGTATGCTGGATGGATGAGTTCCTCTCTGGGATTATTGGAGCTTGAGACACAGCCCCACAGAGATGCCCTCCCATGAGTCGATGTACCCTTCTGTTGACTGCATGTAATAAATGTGATTGTGTGTCTCCTCTAAAAAAAAAAAGAATGAACCATACACTATGCACCTCTCCCTTTTTGGCAAACTGGACAACGCATCCCTAGAACGAAGGCAACAAGCTATTGTCAGAGACGCTGAGCTGTGAGATTAGAAGTGACTGAATTCTGTTAAAAGTTTTTGCTTCTTTCTCATCATTTTGAAATTATTGTGACATTTGAGAACAAAATGTATTATGTACAGGTAAATTTGTACCTAGTCAACACTCGTATATTTGATGGAAATACTTGAAATGAGGCTACAGATTCAAAATTAATTTTAGGATTCAAGAACAGGCTTGTAGTCCCTGCACTTAGGAAGTGGAGACAGAAAGGTTAGAAGTTCTAGGCTAGTCTAGGCTGCAAAGTTAGATTGCTGAAAAGATGATGATGATGAAGATGAAGATGATGATGATGATGATGATGATGATGATGATGATATAAATATTCAAAACCTTGTGTTCTATTTCTTGTCACAAAATTTGGATACAAACAAATGGCATATAACAAACTCTGACCTTTTAGAATCTATAAATTAGGCCATACATGTTTAGTTCATAATATGATTACTGACATATACTTTTCCAATTCCAACTTCTATTTACTCTCAGTAACTAAATTTTTTCACTAATAATTTCTGAATCTCTCTCTCTCCCCTCTCCCTCTCTCTCACCTATGGAAGGTCTTTGGTCCCAGAGTAGACGTTTCACTGAACACCTCGGCCACCAATAGGAGCTTGCTAATTGCTTCTTTCATGCTATCCAATGCCTGCAGAGGTGAACTTGTCCTCAGGAATGTCTCAAAAAACATCTGCAGCTAGGAAAAAACAAAATAGAGACATGGCCAAATAAATTTCCATCTTCCCATTGATTCCAAGGTGATTATTGAAGTTCTGTCTCCCTGTCCACTTCAAAAACAAAACCCAACAAAACTTTAAGGAGAAAAATTTGAAAATCTAAGATTTACATATTTTTAATTCAAGTCATGAGGAAAAAGAGATGTTTGCATACCTTGTAATTTAACTTTTCTTTTTAGTTTCTCAAAACAGGGTTTCTCTGTGTAACCTCCGTGGCTATCCTGGAACTCTCTATGTAGACCAGGCTAGCCTTGAACTCATAGAGATCCACCTGCCTCTGCTTCCTGAGAGCTGGGATTAAAGGTGTGCACCACCACCACCTGGTCCTTGCAGTTAAACTTAATATGCTTTTTCCATCTCACTTTTCTTGTAGTATTTATTGACTCATAGGAAGGACAATGCACCTGACATGGTGAGGGCTGCAAGCACAGCTCTCTGGCTTGATTTGTCATTCAGTCAGTAAGGGGACTGGACTTGGCACTCACCTCTGAACCATTGCTTTCTTACTTCACAGTGGACACCCACCAACGAGAGAGTTGTGCACCCAACATTCGAAAAAATTATTTGAAAAGCATTACAAAGCATGAAACTCAAATATTTGGCTTTTAATTATCAATTTTCTGCATGTACTAATAAAAATATCTTTTCAAACTTGTTTCTCTTCACCTCGTTTTTTTTCTCTGGGAGATCTAGACAACCAGAGAAGAATCTAAAAGAATCACAGTGTTGTGATAACATTTTGATATTGGAGTTCCTGTGATGGAGGATATGAGATAGTATTAAGTAAGAGAAGAAGTTCAAGTCTTTGTCTTCCTGTGGACGATACTGTTAGCTTCTCAAACAACTATTCTTCTTTACTTAAATATTAAAAATCACATGACAAAACTACCTTTTGAAGATGCTTAGCATTAAGTTTCAAGTCAATATTTTTAAAAAAATATTAACCAAATCTTATTGATTCAAGATTTTCTTTAGATAAACATAGGCTTTCTAAGATAAAGAACAAAAAATATTTTTTGAAAAAACATGCAGCAGATATTTGATTAATGTTTTTAGAGAATATGCTAAACCAATCAGAACTGCAAAAGATTACACATGGGAAACTGCCGTTGTGATGATAATGAAGGACAAATATTAGCAGAAATCATCTATGGAAAATGGTAACTGTATCTTTAAAATGTGCCAGTGAAATTCCCCCAACATAAACAAATACTGAGTCCATAAACTTTTATAAGCCAAAACCAGAAACCTAATGAGACCAGACATTGAGACCCTAAGAACATATCATCAACATCTGGCAATTGAGTTGTTTTTCCGTTTTACTAAAGAAAATGAATGTAGTAATTGTATAATTAAAAGAAAACAAATTAATGCTAACAGTAAAAATGTTAACACCCTTGAGTCAAAATAGAATAACACTGTGTGTTTCTAAATAAAAGCAACATAAATCTTACTCAGTTCACCACATTAATAGGAAGAATTGCTAATGACATGGGTGCATTCTTTCCACATTAATGTTACCTGAATGTCACAGAGCTTGAGGTTAATGATATAACAATGTTGAAAGGCTCTGCCTAGCATATATGGTATACAAGACTGAGTGTCAAATTATATCTTCCATAGAGGAAAACAGCAAATTAGTATTTGGGGCTTGGATTTATTCCCTTAATGGGCAAATGGTTGTTTCTTTAGTTATAACTAGAATAGTAAGCATTGAACACAAAGTTTATTCAATTAATTCATTTTCATTTTCCGTGAGATCTCTGCTCTGTGGGAAGCCTGCATTCCGTGATTTGGGGACACATTTTACAGTACTGTGGTAACACTCCAAAAAGTTTCAAGTTCACCTCTGGTTCTGTGACACTTCACATAGTTAATAACAATTCCTACTCTGTAGACTTATTTAACTTACTCAGTGCAGTGTCAACAAACCTTATAAGCCAGAAATAAAAGGAGGGTCATGCAAGTGTATATATGTCATCCACCTGCGTTAAGTCTCCCTAAGGGAGTATAACACGTTTATCATTCCCCATAACTGAATCACTCAGACTAAATGAGACATTAATTCCTGTTTCTGTTTATATTGTAAAGGACTGTGCTAATTATATTTCCTTGGTCAAATTATCTAAGGTCTATGCATCTCGGTGTAATCAGATGCACAACGACAGAATGTGCTTGATAACCTCATAAGAATGTATCAAATTAGAAACAATGTGCTAGTAATTAAATCTGAAGATATCAGTTCTTGGAAAACATTTCACTTGGGAGATTTTATATCTCACCCGCAAATCCTGAGAGCAGCAATGTTCTACTCATTTGGAACATGGAGACACAATCTAAATATTTAGCAGATTCCTCGGTCTTTGTACAATTACTGCTAATCCTGTTTGTTGGTGCGGGGTGTTGGTTGCCCTTGTGCATGTTAGGTAAGTTCTTTGTAACAATGCTATATCCTCTCCCCAGCAAACATCTTTAAGTTAAATAAATAAGATAGCATAACTTCTCAAAGAAATCAAGGTTTTGCATAAAAATTCAACACTTTTAAAGCTAAATGTGATGGTGCACACCTTTGGTTCCAACACTCATGAAGCAAAATAGACAAATCATAGATTTTTGAGAACTGTTTGAGCTAAGTAGTCAGTTCATGGCCAATTTAGGTTAAGAAGTGAAATACTGTCTCCAAAAACATAAAGCAAAAACTAAGCAAGCACCAACAAAATGCTTAAAGCTTTTCATGACATTATACACTTCACAGACTACTTATCTTCCTGTCAGTGCAGCAATAGAACCAAAATTTAGTGCTAAGTAAATGGATAGAAAATGACCTTGTAAGACCATAGTTGTAAAGACAAACAGCTTAAATATCAATGCTTATTTGTACTTTTTAAAAAATTCAAGAAATATTCAGTGAGATGTGTTAGCATTCACAACACAAATCCATTTAACCAAAGGAGATACAAATAAGTGAACCAAAACTATCTATTAAAATGGGAGTACCCAGAGCAGGAGAGCTAGATCTGTCCCTCAGCCGATACAGCAATCCAGCACTTGTACTGGGCCCTGCACCTCACCAGGCCAACACAGTAGAGCTGGCCCTGAAGGTGCAAGTGTGGGTGAACCAGCAGGAGCAGGAGAACTAGTCCTGCCCCTTGCTGCCTGATGCATTGGCTGAACTAGCCAGGGTGGGGCTGGAAAGCTCTCCCAGGTGGTGAGGGTGCTGGTGAGCTGACCAACCCAGTAACCACCCAGACCTGGAACCAGGGCTACGAGCTGGTCCATCCTAACATCCACCCCATCTATGAATAGCTGGAGTATGTGAAGGGGCCAGTCCTACAGGCCCAAAGCTGTAAGATCTCCAGGGCAACAACAGGATATCCAAGAGGAGTCCCAGCATCAAAAGTGTAGCAGAAACCAGAGGCCTCGAACCAGACCAACGACTCTTTGCAATGAAAGCTTGCAAGTTGAGATGTATGGATTAATAGATATACTGTGTGAGTCACTGTATCACACTACAGCTTCCACAACAAGATTTTTTTCTTTTAAATTTTCTTATTTTATTTTGGGGTAGGGTTGCAATGGCAGAGGGTGGCTATGAAGGGCCTGGGATGTGACGAAATACACAAAGAATCAATAAAAACTTAAGAGAAAGAAAGGAAGGAAGGGATTTGATCCCTTAAAATACTTCCAAAGTGTACTAACTATTCAACTCATTTGCATACCTCATAGCCATCTCAATATTTTATTCTCTCATTAGAGACTGTACAAATTATTCTCAATTGATTGACTGGTTCTCAGTTAACACACGTTAATTAATACATTCTATGTTAAACTTGCTGATCTTCTTGTCTGCTCTTCCTATTAGACTGAGGAAGTTAAGGCTGGGAATGACCACACTTGCCTTTGCCATCGCAGTACCCATGGCAGGATGGGGGTTAGTGACGTTGTTGAGTGAGGAATCCCAGATGTGACCTTAGAGAAGCCTCAGAAACTTTCATTGGAGGAATTGTTCCACTCTACCTTCTAGATAATGCAGTTTTAAAACAATGCATTAGTCTAGAGCTATAGTTCATTGGCAGAGCATAAGACCTTAGGCTTAGTCCTGTATCACAGACACACAAACTACACAATATTTATTCCTTGCTTACATCTCATGAGAGTGAAAGGATATACATTTTTTCCTAGTGACTTTTAATAAAACCTCTGAAATATAGAAGCTTATGACTGTTTGAGAGGATTTTTGAGACAAGGAAATTTAATCCCAGAGCTAGAGAAAATGATGGAAGATTAGCCAATATTAGTTGTTCTTTAAGTAATATCCTTGCTAACTTGGAAACTTTGGCAGAATACTAATATATTTTGAACATAGGCTTGTGGGCCATAGCGTTGTACCTTACTAAAGTTCCCCTCAATTTCTTTTAGTGTTCCTGTGAGTGAGGGAGACAGATTTGTCTTCTTTGATCGAAGAGTACTAAAATTTAAATATTAGTATTTGCATTAAATATGTGGAAAGATGGGCAATACTGGCAATTACTGGAGAAATACATATTAAAACTACAATAAGGAAAGCCCTCATACCCGTTTAGGATGGTTGTTATCTGGTGATTATCTTAAAAACACACAAAGTAACACATATCAAGAAAGATGTGAAGGAATCATGACCTTCAAACTCTGTAATTCGAATGGAAAGAGATGACATCTCAAAAGCAAAAAAAAAAAAAAAAAAAAAAAAAAAAAAAAAAAAATTTATCATTTTTACATTTGGCCCAGCAATTCCAGAGAGTCTATCGGAAGACTTGAAAGTCAGGTCACAGAGAGATATCTGCACTCATATTCAAGCAGCAGTAGTTTCAATGGCCCAAAAGTGAAAACAACAGGCAGATTTTGACAAATGAGGGGATAGGACAGGATAATAGACACACACACTATCCAGTCTTAAGTGGGAAAGAAATCCTGTAACACA